TCTCATGAAGAGTTACTGTCTTAGAAACCCACCAGGACAGTTCTACCCTGTCCTATAGCATCTCTATGAATCAGAATCAACTCGATGGCAGTACATTTTGTTTTGTTTGTTTGCCTTGTTTAAAACCAGCAAATGTTGAGTTATTTCCTACTGCTGGGGGCCCCGTGCATTTCAGAGTACAACTGCACTGTAGGGTTTTTAATGGATGCTTGTGGGCAAGTCTAATAATCCTCAGGTGATGCAAATGGCAAACATACTTGGTTGCGAACTGAAATGTTGGAGGTTAGAGTCACCCAAGAGTCACCTCAGACGGAAATCCTGGATATCTACTTGTGAAAAACCCCCACAGAGCACCGGGCTATTCAGACACATGTAGAGCTGACTTGGTGGGACCTGGGTTTGGGGTTTTGAGGAGGAATTATTTTTTTGTGCTTTGAATTAGGAAAATTGAAATATTAAACTTAAATCCTCTCTGGAACTGTTCTTCTCTGTAGGGACTAAAGGTCACTCCTGTGGTTTCCTATGCTCCTTGGAAGAGGAGGAAGAGGGTTCAGAAACCCACTTTTGCAGCTGTCGTGAACCAAGTTCAGATAGAGAGGCACAGAGGTTTTCCATGGAGTCGTACTATTGTTTAGAAGGGAGTCTGCCTGTAGTTCAAGAGAGATCCTCTCCCTTAAACTCTGGGGAACAATCCCAGCTCTGGTCATCTTCTAAACCTTATAATAAAAGTTTAGATTTGGGGAAAGTCCATACTGGGAAAACTGTAAAAACCTTGCCTCAGTAGACTATGGGTCCATTTGATGGTGTTGATATGAGGGTGGCCTTGCTGAAAGAGCTTCTGTCTTAAGCAGTCTTACTGGCAGATACAGGTTCTTTACCCAGTTAAGTAGTCAGAAGGCTTTCCACCAAGAAACTCTCATAGGTAGGATTCCCCTCTGCTTTCTTTTTGGGGCTCTGGTCTACTTATGCAGATTGATTGGTTCCAGTTATGTATAGTTGGGAGATCTTGGATTTATGCCATGTGCTTTATCAAGAATAGACCATACGAGCCAAATAGATAGGTTGGTCACCTTGATTATTCCTGTACCCTAAGAAACCCTTCAGTCCAAGGAACCCCAGATGGTTGGGCACCATGTGTGGAGATAGCGTGCCCTATATGTACACTATGCCTAATGGTTGGGCCCAAGTTTTCACAGGGCTCTGACTTCATAGGATTCTCCACTCAAACCAAACTCGCCACCACTGAGTCAGTCTGACTCAGGATGCTGGAGGTAAAAATAATGTCATTAGAGCTTATTTTTAGAGGTAGGATTTTAATGCCAGGACTTTCTGAAGGTAAGGAATCTAGGGACTTCTCGAGGGAGGTAGAAGACCAAGAGGAGGAGGGATGGCCACGCGCTCCCCTTGTTTAGAAAGGAATTTTCTTTTTCATTCATTTTTGCTGCTGTCTTCATCATTCTTAAGGTATAACAGAAAAAAGAAAAATTAGCTTAATTTTAAAAAATCTGATTGTATGGAACAAGACCTAAATGGATGTCAATTCTAAGTATTTCCACTTGGAAAGTACACCGTTTTTAAGTTATGGAAACCTACCAAGACCTGGACATTTATAACTCAGTAATAGAGCTCATGGCATAGATCTTGAAGGCTGAAGTATCTTAGCAGATGACCACAGGCTAAGTCCTTGGCCTTGAGTATCCACAGCCAATCTTCAAAAACAGGTCCTGGGCAGGACTCTCTCTCCTGCCTCATTGTGGTAGAATTAGGACGCACTGCTTTGGCTCACCTCCTTCCTTTCCCAGACATTCCAGGACAGCCACCATATTTTTTTTTTTAAATAATCCTTTCCCAGACATTCCAGGACAGCCACCATATCTTTTTTTAAAAAAATAATCATTTTATTAGGGGCTCATACAACTCAGCACAATCCATACATACATCATTTGTGTCCAGCACATTGGTACATATGTTGACTTCATCATTCTCACAACACCCCCTTTCTACCCGAGCCCTTGGTGTCAGCTCATTTTCCCTCCTCCCTTCCCCCTCCCCCTCCCCCTGAACCCTTGATAATTTATAAATTATTATTATTTTATCATATCTT